CCAGAGGTGCCAGGCATTGGGGCTGGTCCCCATACATCAGAAAAAATGAGATCAAGAGGAGCAGCATAAGTGGTGGTAGAGGGAAAATGTGGTAACTGATGAATTTTGCCCATACAGCAGGCTTCACAAACAGAATGAGTTATGGCAGTTTTATTGTCAAGAATAGGAAAATTACATTGTTGTAGTACAGAAGTAACTATTTTGGAGCTAGCATGGCCTAATCGTTTGTGCCATAGATCAAAAGAAACATGTTTAGAATACAAAGCAATGGGGGGTGAAGAAACAGATGGGCTGTTGTTAACTAATACATTTGAAAATTGATAGAGACCATCTTTAAGCTTGCCTTTGAGGACAATGGCCTTAGTTACCTGAGATTTTACAAGACAATAATCAGGAAAAAATTAAAAGTAAACCTTGTTATCTCTAGCAAATTGAGATACACTAATCAAATTTTTGGTTATGGAGGGTACATGAAGAAGATTATCAAGTTTAAAAAGAAATGGAGATGCAGGTGAGGTTAAAACAGAATTGCCAACATGATGGATATGCATACCTGTACCATTTCCAATTTGAACTTGCTCAGAGCCATTATACTCAGAGCTGGAAGAAAAATTACCAAGATCATGAGTTAAGTGATGAGTGGTACCAGAATCCGGATACCAAGAGCTGTCAGTGAGTGAGGCTGGTCCTGCCATATAAGCTTTGGGGTTGTGGAATGAAGAAGGTGGAGGTGGAGGTTGTTGGGGATTCTGAGCATTCTGTGATGGTGGTTGATAGTTTGAGTCATACCTGTAGAAACATTTAAGAGCAGGATGTCCAAACCTGCCACAGATTTGGCATTGTAAGCGATTCTGATTCCAAGAATTCCAAGATAAACCTTGTGATCTACCACCTCTGAACCCGCGGCCACCTCTGCCTCTCCTTCCACCAAAGGATCTGCCTTCATTGCTATTGAACTTGTTTTCAGTGTTATTGAACCTGTTTTCATTGTTGTTGAATCTGTTTCCCTGCTGTACAGTAGCTTGTGTGACATTGGCCTGAACAGGAACTGGATCATTCTTCTTGAACTTTTCAAGTATATCTTCTTGAGCAAGAATAAAAGCTTCCAATTCAATTATGGAAAAGGGTGGGAATCTTGACATTGCAGAGGTGATTAATGGAGTGTATTCTTCACTCAAGCCATCAAGAATGGCTTCTGAATATTCTGCAGCAGTTAATGGGGAGCCAACAGCACCCAAAGAATCAATAATCTTCTTGATTTGAAGAAGGTAATCGGATGCTGGTCCCTTTTTCTTGATGGTTTTCAACTGGTTTTTCAATTGCTTAACTTTTGCCTGAGTATGTGAAGCAAAGTACACTTGTAGCCTTGTCCAAATTTCATGAGCAAACTTGCATCCTACCATTCTGTTTTTGAAGGATATGTTCATGGAGGAGAGTAGCCATGACACAAGAAGGTGATCTTGCTGATGCCATGTTGCATAATCTTCTGATTCTTTTTCAAGATCTTTATCTTCTTGGGTAGAGAAACGGGCAGGGATCTTTTCTTCACTGAGATGATCCTGCAGGTTGTGGCCATGGATGGAAGCAAGAGCCAATTGCTCCCAAGGAAGAAAGCTATCTTCATCGAGTTTGTCTGCAATTGGGTATGAGAAAGATTTCATGATAAGTTTCACGGATTTTGTATTTTCGGAGCTTGTGGATGATCTTGGTGATGATTGAGGAGATGCCATGGATCGATGCTGGGCTCTGATACCATGTGAGGTATCAGACCTTTGTGCTTAAAGAAAAGAATCACACACAGTGTGAAGAGGAAAACGAAAAGAAGAAGAAAGCTATCTGAATTGATACTGTATATTGATATCTTGAAGAGGGATACAAGAGCTGCTATATATATAGCAGTTGGGAAAAGAGGGAAAAGCTAAACAGCTAAAAATAACAGAAATAATTGTCATTATCTATCAAATCCTAAATTAATATCCCCCTACGTGTAAGGAAGCACCATTACATCACCACAACCACAACTAGAAATATCAAACACTTTAAGCTGTTAAGTGAAGATAGACGAATGGTTTTATACTTATATTATACTTTTAATAGATGAGAACTCATTTGAACTTCAAATATATATCAAAGTTGCAAGTAAATAGACTTAAACTAACATTGCAAGTGCAAATATATATGTGTACCTTCCATTGCCGAGCTTTCTCAAGCTCAATTATATCAGCAACCTCAGGATCAACAACCTCAAGAGGAGCATTCAGTTGCTTTGGCCACTGCAAAGGCGTAATATTTCATCAAAACTAACACAGCTTAAATCCTGAATACTTTTACCCAAAAAAAGTGAAATTATTCATAATTATTGTCTTACTGTAACTCCTGGTTTCTCCTTCTCGAAGAGAGCTTCATCAGGCAAAGAAGACTGCAAAAAACGAAAAAGAAATAAAACGGTTGAGATTGCGGTGAAAAAGGGTGACAAGTAAGACGGAGAGGGAGGACCTTGTAGTAAAGGGAACCGGCATTAAACAGAGGTCGTAGAGGCTTCTCAATTGAAGATGAAAGCCTACGAAGCGCCATTGCCATCGCCATCTCTCAGTTCTCACAGACACACACAGTGTATTTTGTGAATGATGAACTTGTTATCCAAGTCCCGGAGGTGATGGCGCCACGAGATGGGACCCACCGTCAGATTTTAGATTTGGTTTGAACCATTCACTATTTTTTATTATTATTATTATTTGTTCATCACGGACCTTTCCTCGTAAATGCTCGAAAAATTTCGCAAGTAATTTTTTTTAGTTATGTTACGGGAGAGAGGGTATAGTTAGTATTTTTATTATTATCTTTTATTATTAAATTTTAATTGTTGATTTTCGTCAATTTAATGATTATAATTTATTGGGTTATTGAAACGATTCTAGTCTCTCCAACAGACTAACACGTAACTAACTAACTGATTGTATTAATTCTCAAAAGTGTCTCTGTCTCATTACAATTCGATTATTTATACTAACAACTAACACTGGCCACGTTGGCAACTAACTAACACTTTAATGGGCTAACAATTCTACATACAGAATATACACTTCACTATTGTACGTAATCTAAGGCCCATGAAGGGTATCCTTTAATTCTAGTAGCCCTCTTCTGCTGTCCTGTTCCTTCATCTCTAACATCTGCCCCTCCTTCGAAAGCAATCTTGTCCTCAAGATTTAAGTCAGGATAAATGCTAAGAATATCAGCAACATTTTCCCATGAAGCATCTTCAGGGACGGTTGCTGACCATTGAATCAACTTCTGCTGTGTACTTTTCCCTTTTATATTGATCTGTCGGGAAGCAAGGATGGCAACTGGTTTCTGAACCGGTTTGTTATCAATGCACAAACTGGGTAACGGCTCATAACTCACATCTGCAACTCCATGAAAAGGCTTCAAGACAGAAACATGAAATGTAGGATGAATTAAACTACCTTCTGGCAATGACAGCCCATAAGCCACTGAGCTTATCACCTTCTCCACTTTAAAAGGTCCAAAGTACCTCTTGGCAAGCTTATGATTTGCTCTCCTGGCCACCGATAACTGGCGATATGGTTGGAGCTTGACTAAGACTGGATCGCCCACTTAAACTTCCTATCCTGTCGATGTTTATCTGCTTGGTGTTTCATTCTTTGTTGAGCCCTCTGTAATTGCAGCTTAAGATGATCAAGCACTACCTGTCACTCTTGCAACATCATGTCGACAGCCTCCACTTGAGTCTGATCCTTCAGAGTTGGCATTTTGCCATAGAGTGCCTGAAATGGACACATATTGATTGCTGAATGGACTGAGGTGTTGTAGTGCAATTCAGCCCAACACAACATTTGAGACCAACGATGGTTCTGTTCAGAGCAAAAAGCACGCAGGTATTGTTCAACATAATGGTTTGTAACTTCCGTTTGACCATCTGTTTGAGAATGATATGTTGAGCTTGCTAACAGTTTCGTCCCACTCAATTGGAAAAGCTGTTTCCAAAATTTGCTCATGAAAATTTCATCCCTGTCAGACAGCAAGGATCGAGGAAATCCATGGAGTTTAACTATCATATTACAAAAGAGCTGAGCTGTTGTTGCTGCTGTATAAGAAGATGGCAATGTGCCAAAATGACCATATTTGGAGAGTCTATCCACCACCAGTAATATAGTAGTATATCCATTAGATGGGGGAAGACAAGTGATAAAATCAAGAGTTAAATCATCAAACATAGCATCTGGAATTGGCAAGGGCTGTAACAAGACAAAAGGAACCTGTGTGGAATGTTTAATCTGTTGGCACACCACACAATCTCGAACAAAGCCTTTCACATCTTTGTGCATATTCCTCCAAGTAAATAATGCAGACAGCCTTAAGAAAGTACGTTGGACTCCTGCATGTCCTCCTGTAGGAGTGCAGTGTGCTTCCACTAATAATAGCTGTCGAAGAGTGGATGTGGAGCCCAATACACATCTGCCTTTGCGAAATAAAATGCCATCTCGTTGAGTTAAATTAGGATCAGTATTTGTACCAGCATCGAAAGAGTTATGTAATTGGATCAGCTCTGGATCTGTTGTGTTCTTTTTTCGAATTTGCTCCCAAATGTCCAAAACAGGTGCTGAACATAAAGCATGAATGACAGCCTTATCATCATCTAGAAATTGCCTAGATAAAGCATATGCTACAATGTTAGCAGCACCTGATTTGTATTCAATTGTAAAATTGTACCCCATCAACTTATAGATGTATTTCTGTTGATCAGCCGTGTGAATTGTTTGATGCCACAACTCCCTCAGGCTTTGATGGTCGGTCTTAATGACAAATTGAGAGCCAAGTAGATAGTGTCTCCATTTTTTTATTGCTTCCGTAATTGCATATAACTCCCTGATGTAAGCTGAAGCTACTGCCATCCTTGGACCCAGTTTCTTACTAAAATAAGAAATTGGTTTGCCACCTTGAATCAACACTGCACCTATTCCCAAGTTCGAAGCATCTCATTCAACAATAAAAGGAGCTGTGAAATCGAGCAACTGTAACACAGGAGTGGCAGCCATTGCTTCTTTAAGAGATTGAAAAGTCAATTCTGCAGCAGGGTTCCAAACCATCTTGTCCTGCTTCAGCAGCTCGGTTAAAGGATGAGCAATTGAAGCATATCCTTTGACAAACCTTCTATAATAGCCTGTGAGGCCTAGAAATGCTCTTAATTGTTTGATCGAGTGAGGAGTTGGCCAATGAAGTGTAAGAACCTGCACCGTTAATTAAGGAATTTAATTAATAAATTATGAGAAAATAAGAAATGATTCCATAATTGACCCTAATAATTATTATGAGGCTTTAATAATTATAGTAAGTGAGTTCTAATGCTGAAAGTCGTTTTTCGGAAGAAAAGTGCAGATACCGGTTCTGCTAGTCGGTATAAATGCGTGCCGCAAAAGTATCCCAAAAAATTATAGTAAGTGCATGATAATTATTATAATGATATATAGGACTTGTAAAACGAGTTTCAAGTCCAAATAATGAGAACTGGTGCTAGAAATCGGTACTGGCTTTGAAAAACGCGTACCGGAAATGTGATCAGAAAATTATAAGAAAAATATGATAATTCTTGGAAAAATGTGTAGTTTCAGATTCCAAAGTTTGGGATTAAAATACTAAGCGTAACAATTAAAGTTAATACTGTGTGTTAATTGGGTAAGTGGCTATAAATACTCTAATCATTGGGCACAAAACCCTAGACCTGATTTCCTACGTGCCTCCATATTCTGAAACACCTCCAGCCACCCTTTGCCACCTTCTCCTCCTTTGTGGTGAGCCAAGGAGCTTCCTTTCTCCTTGGTTTATTCTCCAAATACCTTGAGGCTTGTGAGAGCTTGCTTGGTGTGGGAGTGTGAGGGCTTTTCTGAGTTCTTGTCACTGTGAGTGAGGTGGAGAGGTTCTGAGTTTTTAATTTGAGTGTGTGAGCCTTGGTTATGGCACTTTGAGGTCCAAGTGGTGACCTTTGGTGAGAAAGAACCAACCTTTGTGAAGACATTTTCGTTTTCTGTACAAGTCAGAGTTTAGGAGCTAGTTGTGAGCTCTAATAGCAACCCTTTGCCTCTGTTTTGGCTTGTGGTATGTTCATCACCTTTGATCTTGAGTCTTTTATGCTTAAAAATGGAACCTTGATGCATGTAAAGGTTAAAAGATGATAACTTAATGTTGGGGTTGGTCAAACACACCTAGAAATGCATGTTTAGGTGTTTAAAATCGGTAAAAACCCAACCTTGGAAGGATATCTTCACGAAATGCATTTTCTGCATTCTGTCGTGAAATATCCAGATATCTGCCCGAGAAATATTCGGATATGTGATATCCGGATATGGGTTTTGAGTATCCAGATATTAGATATCCGGATATGGGATTCTGGATATCCGGATATTGCATATCCGGATATGTCCAGTGAGATATCCGGATATTGCATATCCGGATATGGTCCCGAGGAATATCCGGATATTCTGAGATTTCGTAGAACAGTAGTTGTGCTGTGTGTACAGTAGGCTATTGGGGGGTTTGTGGTACCTAGATTGATGAAGTTGAACTTCTGTAATTAATGAATTAAGTTGGAATCAAGTGATTAAGGGCTTATGGCTTGGTTTGGAGCCTTAAGACGTAAAACGTAAGGAAAGGCGTTGTCTTAAAATTATATGCTTGTGTTGCATTATTATTGATATAGTATTGGTTCATAACAGATTGTGAATCTGCTGTGTTTGGACTTTGAGCTGTGGACTCTTGGCCTTGGGTGTTAGCTTGCAAGGTAAGCTTTTGTGTCCTCGGTTTAGCCATGTTGTGGTTCCACCATGTCCCATGGGGGTGTGGTTATATGCATGTTGTGTTACATGCATTTGAATATTTGAAATGTTGTTGAGCTTTATGTGTAATGACTTTTTAATATGCATGTGTTGTTCCATCTTGACGGTAAACCTGAGTATGTAGCGCCATACAAGACGGTGATCCGGGGTGGATGCAAGTAGCGTCTTGCACTAGTGTAGGTATTTGGCGTGTGTAAATCCTGCATTTCTCTGGCCAGTAGAATAAAATAGACACACATGACATGATTATCTGCTGCATTGCACTATTTTAGAACTGATGATGATAAACTGCTTTTGAACTTATATTGCACATGTAAGTGAGCTTGGGGTGGAAGATCCTTGAGGACCCCTTGCCTTACTGAGATTTCTTGTTTAGAGATCTCACCCCACGTTTGGGGAATGCTTATTTCAGGTTCCGGTGCCATGACTGGATTTGGATGCTGTTTATGTTTTCCGATATTTATGATTATGTTGTCGTTGTTGAGACTGATGTTGGGCATGTTGCCTTATTTGAGTGAGCATGGGGTTTGTCCATGACACATTATGTTAGTATTTTAGATTGGAGTTGTATAAACTGTTAGATGGTCCGGTCTACGTTGTTGTAGTTCCGTGACTAGAGCCACACTTTTATTATATATGTTATGAGGTATATTCAGATAGCTGTTTTATTGCAATTATATACAGGCGATGTTTTATTAATTTGTTTAATAAGCAAGTTGGTAATGATAATGACATCATAATTGAAAAGAAACAGATATTCCGCATTTTTAATTAAGCGCTGCTTAATACGATAGTATGATAACATTACCGGATATATACGGGGTGTTACATGAAGCATGGCTGAGATTTTGGTAGGATCAACTTTCACTCCAAGGGAAGACACCACATGTCCCAAATAAGAGATTTCAGCTACACCAAACTCACATTTACTCAATTTAACAAAAAAAGCATTATGCAGTAAACAATCCAATGTCAGTTTCAGATGGGTAACATGCTCTTCCAAGGTAGAACTGTATATCAAGACATCATCAAAAAATACCATAATGAACTTCCTTAGAAAAGGACGAAATATCTTATTCATGGTAGCCTAAAATGTGGCTGGTGCATTTGTGAGGCCAAAGGGCATCACCTTAAACTCATAATGACCTTCATTTGTTCTAAAGGCTGTTTTGTGGATATCTTCAGGTTTCATTCTTATTTGATGATAACCTGAACGTAAATCAATTTACTAAACACCTTGGCCATGAACAATTCATCTAATAGCTCATCTATTGTTGGTATAGGAAAAGCATCTCTAACCGTAATGGAATTCAAGGCACGATAATCAATACACATCCTCCATGTGCTATCTTGTTTTCTTACCAACAAAACTGGGGAGGAAAATGCACTATGGCTCTGTTGGATCCACCCAGATGCAAGCAATTCTTCCACTTGTCTTTCTATTTCTGTCTTTTGGTGGTGTGGGTATCTATATGGTTTAACCTTAATAGGTTTGGTTTCATCTAATAAATGGATAGCATGAGTCATGTCTCGAAATGGAGGTAAGGCTGTTGGTATATCAAATACCTTCTGACAAGCAACTAAAATGGACCATAACATAGCAGGTATCTTATCTTTCCAAAGTTGAAGAGGAGAATTTACCTGAGAGTCAGAATCATAAGACTGCTGCAGCAACAAGGAATGGCAGATTGCTTCTGTTTGAGTAGAATGCGGTTGTTGTTCACCCAATTTCATTCCTTCCAATACTACCAACTCATCATGCCACATGAATTCCATTGATTGTTCAGCATAGTTATGAGTGACTCTACCAAGAGTGATCAACCATTGCATTCCCAAGACTATACATAAATCACATAAGTCTACCACATACAGATCAGTTTCAAAAATATGCCCTTGGATCAACAACTGTACCTTGGCACATTTTTTGTCACACAAGAGGAATTCAACATTACCCATGAATACCCTCATTCTCCTAGCTTTAACCATTGGTAAGTGAAGTTCCTCAGCTAGCTCCCTCTTAATGAAATTGTGTGAACTGCCTGATTCTATCAATACCTCCAATTCCCTTTTACCAACAACAGCTACCAAATTCAATGAACGAATATGAGCTGAGCCGGACAAGGAATGTAATGCTGCATCTAACCTGACTGGCTGATGTTCTTCTTTACGCCATAAGATCTCTTCATCCATATCTCCTTCTGACTCATCATCTTCAGCAAATAACACTAGCATCTTTGTTTTACAACGATGCTTGGATGTCCATTTTTCTTCACATGTATAACATTGACCCAAATCTCTCTTTTTCTGAAGCTCTTTAGGTGACAGCCTCTTGATGGGTAAAGTGGTTGGAGCTGGTAGTGAAGGAACAGTACCTAGAATTGTTTTTTCTCCTGATACCCCCACATTGGATCGATGGAACAACTTCCTTGGTTGATTTGTAATGGACGAACGAAGCTCACCATGATGACTGTCATAAGCTATTGCTAATTGCATAGCTTGATGGAAGGTAGTTGGCCATCTCAACTGAACTGCTCCTTGTAAATCAGGCTGTAATCCCGCCACAAAAAAAGTCATAAACAATTCATCACTGATGTTTGTTACCTGGTTCATTAATTTTTGGAATTCAGCCATATAATCTGCTAAAGAACCATTCTGCATCAGCTTTGCAAGCAACCCTCGAACATCATTGTAATTAGATGGTCCAAATCTTTCACGAACAGCCCGAATGAATTCTTCCCACGACTGAACCGTTCCACTATTGAATATCCATTGGAACCAATCAGCGGCTACTCCATCGATTCTCAATCCCGCGAGTTCCAATTTGAATTGTGCTGGAACTTGTTGAATCTTGAAAAATAACTCAGCCTTGAAGATCAAAGTGTTTGGTTCCTTCCCATCAAATTTGGGTATTTCTGGCTTCACAAACTTCAATATCTGCCTATGATCATCTGGTTTGCATGCAGCATGATGAACACCATTCTGATGTGGAGGTGTAACATCATTAGAATTACTCTCAGATACCGCTCTGGAAATATGAGGTAGAATCTCACAGAAACTACTCTGCAATTCTTGAAATTTTGCCTCCATGGACATCAACAATTGCTCCGCACGTTGATTATTCTGGTTGTTCAAGTCTCGATATTGCAAGAACTCCTCTGTAAGCTCCTGGATTTTCATCTTGACGACGATGAAAAAATGGGTCTTGACTCCACAGCAATGAAAGCACCAATGAAACGATTCTAGTCTCTCCAACAGACTAACACGTAACTAACTAACTGATTGTATTAATTCTCAAAAGTGTCTCTGTCTCATTACAATTCGATTATTTATACTAACAACTAACACTGGTCACGTTGGCAACTAACTAACACTTCAATGGGCTAACAATTCTACATACAAAATATACACTTCACTATTGTACGTAATCTAAGGTCCATCATGAAGGGTATCCTTTAATTCTAGTAGCCCTCTTCTGTTGTCCAGTTCCTTCATCCCTAACAGTCATATTTATTAATTAATTATTAATTTCTAATAAATCATAATAGTTAAATTGACAAAAATCAATTATTAAAATTTAATAATAAAAGATAATAACAAAAATAACGAGTAACTCCCACGTTACATCATGTTTTAGGTATCTGAAATCTAGTTCTGAAACAAAAGTCTTTATTATTATAACCGTTCTTGGTCTTCAAACTTATATTCTGGACCAGCATCACAGCCGGACACATGAGCTAGTCGATAGAGGCACAATTAAAAGGTTATTTATCTCTCTCCGTACAGTGTAAATTATAAATTTCATAGGAAAGGATCTAAATTTGATAGTGTTTGAAAATATTTTTCACCTATATATATTTTTCTTCCTTTATCGTAGAGGAATTTGACATTCATCATTTTTATGAATTATTATTCTACTAAACTATTAAATCACTCTACCTTCACATAATCGCTCTCTCTCTCTCTCTTATATATTTATGTGACTGATGTGAGGACTCATCCAAGAGCTTTGCCTGTAAGAGTACCTTCATATAGATATACTTTATCCGATATACACCTAGCTCTTTAACATAAACAACTCAGCTTATATTGTCATTTAAGTTAATTCTTGAGTTAATTTTTAAATAATCTAGACACTTAATGTTAGGATATAATATAAATTTTGATATAATATTTTAAATTTAATTTGGTGACGTATATGGTTATGTAAATCGTATTAAAAATATAATTGTACATTTTAATTGTTAAATTAAATGTCTATAATGTACGATATTACCAAATATTTTTTGTACGCCGAAAGTAATTGTGTAAGAATTTCCCGAGTTGTCACGTATAAGACACTGTTTCTTCACACGAGGATAACTGGATAAGGATGGCTGTTTGCATAATAAGATCATGCCGTGATCCTGTGGACATCAATATTCCGAATAAACTTACTTGTTGTACAATTATTTTTTTCTAAAAGACGAAAATATAATGGAATAACATTTGTGTGGTGAATATTATGCAAGTTATCCACATTTTTATTTCTTCTTTTGAGTAATAGTACTCTTACTTAATCATGATTCTAATCATTGTTTTATTTCTGTTGAATCCCCTTAAATTTATATACATGAACCACGTGCAAATATATTGCATAAATTATTATTTTTTAGATTATTGCACGAATAATAAAAAAAATTAGAAATTTGAAGGAGAAATGAAAGAGGTTGGCACGTTGTGGTTGGCACAACTTTATAACAATAAAAACAAAATTGTTTTTTCTACTGTGAATGTAGATAATTTATTTACATTGAGCCTAAAACGATTTCGTTTTGACACAGAAATTAAGGTATTTTTATAACTATAATTTATTTCAAGATTATAATAGTCTTTTTTATTATAATTTTTTAATTTTTCAACCCAAAATGACATCATTTTAAATGCGAATATAGATAACTTATCTACATTTACGGTAGAAATATAAAAGCCTAAAATAAAAGAGAAAACTTTTTTTATTTATAAATATTTTACCATTATATTACTATTTTATGATAGAATGAACCTTCAAATCTCAATGCATGAGCTTCTTTTTGGTGGATTGGGAGTTTGTACTCCCTATCCAAATATAGAAGAAAAAAACGAACGAAAGGAAATTTTTTTAAAAAAATAAGAGTATAAATGAGAAAATATTTTTTTTTGACAAAGGGCCACCAAATTCATTATGATCCGGATCATATTAAAAAAATTTCCAATGCAGACGATTTTTTCTCTTCTATCAAACTTCTCCCGTTATCACCATCGAAAATCTTCCTTCTTTTTTTATGGGGCCCACTTGCTTTTTTTTTCTCTCACAAACATGATATTTTTTCTGTAACTCGAGAAGTATAAAATTCTTTCTTTTAATATGAATTTTACTAGACTTTAACTTAATAACTGCTAAAATTCGAATTTACCATTTATGATAAGGGGCAGGGAAATTTGAGGTAATGAGCTCAGCTTCGATTGGTCATATATAGATATTTCTTCGTTCTTTTATAAAAGAAATAGATGGAAAGCAACTACCAGAAATGAAGATCAGAGGCACATTTTGTGCAGATGCATTAAACAAGTTCATTTATATTTTGGTGAAACATGTTTTTGCTTTTGTTGCATAAAAAAATTTCTATCATATTTATATAAAAAAAAAATTATTAGGACCTACTTAATTTTATGTAAATGTGGTAGAATTTTTTTTTTTCTGTAATAAAAATAGAAACATTAAACCCTATATTTTGTGTGAAAATAAATGATCTGAGTTTGAAAATTGAGATACAAAATACTGGCAACTAAAACGGGCCATGAAAGGCCTATCCACAACCACCGCTCCTTGGCCACGAACTGACCCTTGGGGCATGTAAGCTGATAGGGTAATTCAAATGCTTGAAATAGATGTTGCCACTTGCCACCAAGGCATTGAACTGTTTTGTTTTTTTCGGATAAAGAGCAACTTTTCCCTATTTATGTACTCTTTTCTGTTTTTTTTTTTTTTTTTTTTATTTTATTATCAATCGATTTATTGATTACTCGATTAGTTAATTAATCCGATAAGTTGGATCATATGGATAGCAAAACATTGACTATTAAATTTTAACAGAGTTATATTTTCAGTGTCTTGAACTCAAGATCATTAATTTATGCTGAAACAATCCATTATTAGTTGATATATGTGATTGGTGGGTTTTTTTGTTTCATACATAATTATGTGCTATTTTCTAGGAGGCTATCAATTCACAGCTTTACATTGATATTCACAAGCTCAAACATGTTCGCCAAAAGTTATAAATTTCAGTTTCCTAAATTCAGTATGCACAAAAACAACAGACAAGAGCTTGAAGCAATGATACATATAAATAAAACTAAACCAAGAAACTGTCGATATCTGCCAATAGATTTGGGTTCATTATTCGCCATTAGACTTGTGCCATGTTGTATGTGGGCATTTGCCCTAAACTTATTTTCTAAAATCAATCATGTTTTTAACGTAGCTAAATAATTGTGGCTAAATTTATAGATAAAATTTAATGTAAGGTCTCATCTAAATTTTTGTTAGCCCTAACTCAACGAAGGGTAGCTCTGCCATTGCTTGTTCACTTCTTTAGGATCATCATAGTTCAGAAAAACACTAGTGGTAACGGTAGAATAACTATAACAACATAATTATTGGGATGAGGCAACACATGTAAATTCCAAGTACATCTTTGTTTGGGAAAAATACAGTGTTCTTTAAACACTGTCTTTATTTGATTGCTACAAGAGAAAAAAGTAACATTTGGTAAATCGAGTAATTTATTGTATAGATATAATAGAGAACCAGATGTAGTAGTGTATAAGCTTAAGGATAAATGGAGGAACTCCCGCAAAGATACATGCATCCCTCGCAAAGGAGAAAACAGATAAAGTCCCACTATTTTCCTACTGTCGATATTCAAAATCTGAGGCCCCATGATACAGAACCTTTAACTTGGGCTAAACCCAACAAGAAGAGGAAACACGGAGAAAAAAAGAAAAAAAAAAACTTCAGGAAGAATAAAAATAAATTCGCTAGAAGGAGGGCTTGAACCTCCGACCTTGTGGTTAACAGCCACACGCTCTAGCCAACTGAGCTATTCCAGCTTTTGCTAGTTTAGTGCAGAGTAATAATTATAGTTTATTTACTCAACGGAGGATTTGATCATTTTTTCTAGTCAGAATATATTGAGATACTTGTTAAATAATTGATCAAATTGTTTGCAATAGTTTATTTCATCTACGATATAATCACGGCTGTTTTATACTTGTTTGTGATGAATCTAACCTCCGCTTGAAAATCCAAGACCATAGAAAGATTTAGAACGAAAATCGAGTCAAATGACAATTGAATCGTCTCCAGCTAAGTGAGTTGCTAGAAAAAATTTCACTAGTAATTTTGAGGAGGAAATGGTACCCATCACTCCAAGAAGAAACCCAAATGTGATGATAGACAGGTTTACGATTAAGAGAGGCTTTGATATTTGACCCCAACAAATCTTTATGTAGAAAGCACATGGCAAAATCAAATAGATGGCAACACTTACTAGGAAACCAGTGAGGCTGACTACATGCTCAAAATATGGTTCTGACAGAGCCAAGGACTAGTATAACCTAAAGCAAAACTGAACCTACACTGCCCTTAATTATCGTTTTTGTCCTACCACTCATGGAACTTGGAAGCCTATGCTCAAGCTGAACAGCAAATGGTGCAAATTCAAGCGCATATTTGGTCATAGGCGTAAGCACGGTTGCCCACAGAGCAATGTTTGTTACAATTTGCTTTGGTGGCATTTCGAGAGTTACCGAGAAGTGACTTCAGGCCCAAACATCTTGGCACCCATGAACCCCCAATTCGAGTAAAGTGCAATAACTAATGTGAAGCTCACAATAGAAACCTGAAATTCCCAAACCAAAAAAATTAGATAAATAAATAATTAACCAAAACATCCCAATTAGTCCTTTCATTTCTTGAATACAATAATAATACAGAAAGTTTGAACATTATAAGTTTATAACCTCATACTTTGATTTTCTCATGACTATTATTTGACATGCATATATACCTTGGAAAACTTTGAGGGATATTTCATGGCATTATATAAAGGGGTTTATTAGTTTCCTTTTATAAGAAAATTTTTCTCTCTAGCTGC